TTCTAATTATCACTAGATATTAAAATTTAAAAATAATATGTACATCTGTAGGTTGTACTTCCTTCATGGAAGTCTGTTATTGAGTTGGAACCAAACTTCGATGAAATAATGAAGTGTCCTGGGAGGGGAATAATTGTCTCAGCTGAAGCTCCTCAAGACTCTGAATTTGATTTTTGCAGTCGATTCTTTTTTCCGAAATATGGTATCAAAGAGGTAATGCTAAAATTTGATGTAAAAATTATTAGAATATATTATTTTTACATTGCCAAGTATAAAAAATTGTAATGACTTGTATCTAATTTATAATTTAAATTAGAATTTTACATATACCGAGTTAGAGTTGAAGTTGTAAGAATTATTAGAAAATTTAAAAATAAGCATTAAAGATTGTGAATATTACTGGATTTTCATATACTTTTCTATTATATTCAGGATCCTGTTTGTGGAAGTGCTCATTGTTCTTTGACACCATATTGGAGTCAGAAGCTGAAGAAATTTGATTTCTTAGCATATGCGGTATGTTTTTAAACTTGGCGTTTATTCACTCAAATATTATTTTTATAGTGATATGTATATATATTTATAAATATAGTAATAATAAAAAATGCTTAATCATCCTTGTACTGGCGATATTGCACAGGCCTCATCAAGAAGCGGTGTACTAAACATTCACTTAAATGCCGACAGCCAAAGGGTCCTTCTTCGGGGAAAAGCTGTTGTTATAATGGAAGGTCGTATTCTTGTTTAGATTTTTCAATAATTAAAATTCTCATCCACTAAACATATAATTATTGTGTTAATGTTATATTTGAATTTTTATTGTCTTAAAAATATTTAGAAATATTTTATTTTTCATTTGACTCAATATAAATAATTGTTTTGTTTGCAATAAAGGAAAGAATTTACAAGAATGAAAATGAAATTAAAAAAAAATATTTTACTTCATTCAGATAAAATATTTTATTATTAAAATTCTTTTATCTTTGTTAAATAAAAAATAAAAGAGAGAATAATATAAAATTATTATTATACAGAGAATAATAATAATAATAATCTATGTAAAAAGTATGACTAAATCAAATAGAATTTATAAGAATAAAAAATTCAATACCATTTACTTTACGACAAGATGAAGAGTGTTTGTTATTTAATATATGTCGAGTAAATTAATATCCTTTAAAATATAAGTTTTCAAATACTGAGTAAGATAAGATAACATATAATCTTTATTATTTTTTATCTATTAAATCTTAACATATATGTTTATAAAAAAAATTAGACCGAACATAATCTGTCTTTTTGGCACGATTTATACTCTAACTCTTGATTCAAACGTATCTTCTTATCAATGGACACAATGGAGGGGGGGGGGGGGGG